ATGGTTTAAAAAAATCAGTCCTGGTCATATTTGAACCACCTTGTATTTTTCACAAGAAAAAGTTAAGATCTGTAGTTTCTTAAATAGATCTCTACAGGAATTACGGGATTTGACATCCATCATGTTTCTAACAATTTTCTTTTGCCTTGTAAATACCTTTTTATTGTCAGATGAATTACCCCACATAATTATTCCATACTTCATTAAAGAGTGAAAGTAAGCAAAATAGATTGATTTGAGAGTGTCAACATTACTAATATGTAACATGAATCTAACTGCATAACATGCTCTACTTAACTTTGGAATCAACAGATCAATATGGTTTTTCCAGATTAAATGATTATGAATTTGCAAACCAAGGAATTTTGTGTTTACTCCCTATTCTATATATTTATCATCATATCCTATGTTAAATGGATATTGTGGTGAGTTTATTGTTATAAATTTTATTACATTTGTTTTTTCTAGGTTCAGGGACAGCTTGTTTGCAGAAAACCATTTAGTCATTTGCGAAAGAACCTTGTTTGATAACATGCAGAAATCATCGAAATTTTTACCAGAAATTATAACAATAGAGTCTGCAAATATTATAGGCATTGATGAGATCCTTAGTGTAGGAGGGAGGTCGTTTATATAAATTATGAAATTTGCTATTATTAAAATTATAATTTGAGTTAGCATCCATATAAAATTCTGATTACCAACTTATGAAGGGTCATGATAAAATGGCATGTCTAAATTTATGTTTTTAAAAGTTTTGTGTAATATTGCTGCTGTTTTATATTTGTTAATAGTGACTGATGAGGTCCATTTTCACCTCAACAGATGTGTTATCAAACAGAATTTTCAGTACTGGCCAAAGTGCAGCTGCATAAACAACAGTTGGAATTCTTTCATGCATTGGCATATCAAATTTGAGCCAAAAATTCTTCCATATGCATAATAGACTGTGAATTGAAGAATGTTTTGACAGCAGCCACATATTGAGTCATGTATCTGTTTGCTGTGATAGCTGAAACCATATATATGTAGAACTTCCCCTGGTATGGCACTGCATTCCAAAACAGCCAACCCCAATGGCAAACCCTGTACTTCTTATTAGAAGTGTCATTCGTCTGATCCAGGAGGGTACAAGAATATTGTAACGTGAATGGCACAACAGGAAGTAGGGGTCACGTGAACTCTATGTTTCTGCAAGTGATGTCACATGCCCCCACTCCTTCCATCACTATGCAACGCTCAGTAAACACCCCTCACTACTAGGCTGTGACATCACGCAACAGGAGAGGCCATGCAGGGACTGTTGCTAGGCAATCGATAAACACAGTGTCACGCAACAGTGGTAGCTATCATGTAACTGTTTTCTGTGGTCATTGCGGAAGCTACATAATGAGGAATATTTGTCAGAGAGAGAGAGTTACTAGTATTGAGTATGAGTGTTCGGTATCCAGTATAATATTATATTTAAGCATCCTGTTGCACTCTATACGATAAATGATATAATGATACAAATTCCGTTGCTGCTGTTATTCTTTACTACGTGTAGTAGAACACACGTAGTAAAGAATAACAGCGGCACGCATACAAGAAGACTACACAGGATAACACCTATACAGTGTGGGAACAAGAACTAGCCGCTACAGCACTTTTAGACATAGGGCGAGTAACCCTAACAATTTTAAATTTGGAATTTGGAGAAAAAAAAATTTTAAAGGATTTTAAAATTAGAACTAAAGATTTTATAGTGCTACTACAGGTATGTCAGAATTAACGTGTGTAAAGTGATCTACATCCAGACAGATATCAACGAAGTAGATGTTGATAGTAACAAGGAAAGTGTTTTAAATGTTAAATTTTGAGCTGAGTGCAGTGTGACAGCGACGTGTCATACACCTGATGATGGCCGTCTGTGGCCAAAACATGTAGTGTGGGTGAACAAGATCAAGGACACATAATATATTGTTTGCACTTGGGACGGAATTTGTATCATTATATCATTTATCCAGTATAAGTTGAAGTATTGAGACAGTCCCCATTGAAGAGAGTGGGAGCCCAGCATTCACTGAGAGGTAGTTGAACAGCAATTGAGATACTGGATGGTATAAGACTAAGACTGTATAAGTGTAAAAGTGAAGAAGGGTAAATATTCGCTACATCCCTGAATGGTGTGAAGTTATTTGTCATGTGACATACCCAACACGCGACAACTGGTGTTGTCAGAAGTGGGATACAAACTTAAACATGAAGACCACAAAAGAAATGGATATACAGCAGTTGTTGGAACTACTGATGGCCAAGATAGACGCAAAGACAAAGGCCATGGAAGAAAATGCAAGCCATTTAAGCCAAAACGAGAGCAACCACAGCAAAAACGGCCGCCATACAGAAAGGGATGGACACCAACCACAAGAAGATGGTGACCAAACCCAAACCAGAAATAGGCAGAAAGACGATGGCCTACCGGGAAACGACGGAGGCGTGTCTAGAAGAGGAAAAGCTGACCTCAGTGGACAGGAAACCTGAGGCAGCAGAACGAGAGGTCCCTGTAGAAGACACCACAGTGATGCTGGTCAGAGAACCAAAGAAGATGAAACAGCGTAGGGACCAAAAACAGGCCGCGGAGCACTGCTGCCAGAAACCAAAGAATTTGACATGGGAAAAGTGTGGATCCCAGGAAAGACTGGCCATCACCCACAAAGGGACAAGCCGCCATTCGAAAGTGACATAGCAGACAAAGGGGACCAGCAGAAACATGTCCAGTCACCCAAGAATTGCCTGGAGCAAGAGAAGCGTTGGTAGGAGAAACTATACCAGGACCAAGTATGAGGAAAGAATCTGAAGACTCAGAGAAAGAGTGCGGCACGGCATGTCCTCAGGTTGCGGATGGAGGAGACATCCTCCAGGTTTGGAAGGAAGCTGCAAATATATTGAATAAGCAGTCGTGAACAGCTGACAATGTGTGGTCCTCCAGCTTGGTGGTTGGGTGTTGGGCTAACAACTCCTCACATATAAAATAATCTTGTTATGAAAGTTTTCAAGAAGCCTCGGACTTGGATGGATCCTCTGGAAAATCGATCTAAGCTAAATAAAACGGATATGAGATTTGGTACAAGGAATGTTTGAAGTATGCATAGGGCAGGTTCGCTGAGGGCAGTGGTGGAAGAAATCTTAAAATATAAGTTAGATTTAGTGGGGGTACAGCAGGTCAGATGGGGCGGAGGTGGCATTGCACGAGCAAGGGAATATACATTTTCCTATGGAAAGGGGAATGAAAATCATGAATTGGGTACAGGTTTTTTTGTACATAAGAGAATCATATCAGCAGTTAAGAGGGTGGAGTTCGTTAGTGATAGGAAGTCATATGTAATACTGAAAGGTCGCTGGTGTGATATCATTGTTACGAATGTTCAAACCGCAACAGAAGATAAAATTGATTACCTAAAGGATAGGTTCTATGAAGAACTGGAACATGTATTTGATAAATTCCCGAAGTACCCTATGAAGATTTTGCTAGGAGATTTCAATGCCAAAGTAGGGAGGGAAGACATTTTCAAACCAACAACTGGGAATGAGAGTTTGCATGAAATTAGTAATGCTAATGGAGTTAGAGTAGTAAACTTTGCCACATCAAAATATCTTACTGTCAAAAGTACAATGTTCCCACATCCATAAATTTACTTGGACATCTCCTGATGGGAAGATACACAATCAAATAGACCATATTTTGATTGATAGGAGACGGCATTCAAGTATACTTAATGTCCGATCATTCAGGACAGCAGATTGTGATACTGACCACTGCTTGGTGGTGGCAAGGGTTAGGGAAAGACTGGCAGTGATCACAGAAACAACTCACAGAGTTCATAAGGAGAGGTTCAACCTCAAGATATTAAATGAGGTAGAGGGCAAAGAGCAGTATCGTGTTGAAATCTCAAATAGGTTTGTGGCCTTGGAAAACTTGGACACTGAGGTGAATGTTAATAAAGTGCATAAGCCATGGTTCAATGAAGGATGCTCAAAATTATTAGACCAAAGAAAGCAAGCCAAATTGCAATGGTTACAGGATCCAAGCGAAATACATAGGGATAATTTGGACAATATAAGATGCAAAACCAGCAGACATTTCAGGAATAAAAAGAGGGAATATCTGAAAGACAAAATTGATGAGCATTCAATGAACAGTAAGAACAGGAATATTAGAGACCTGTATAGAGGAATAAATGACTTTAACAAGGGTTACCAGCCTAGCAGTAACTTAGTGAAGGATGAAAACGGTGATCTGCTTGCAGATTCCCACAACATTTTGAATAGGTGGAGGAACTACTTCTCTCAGTTATTGAATATACATAGGGTCAGTGATGTTGGGCAGACAGAACTTGATACAGCTGAGCCCTTAATACTTGTTCCTAGCCCTTTTGAGTTTGAAAGCGCTATTGCAAAACTGAAAAGGTATAAATCGCCAGGTAGTGATCAAAATCAGGCAGAACTTTTTCAAGCAGGAGGCGAAATATTACGTTCTAAGATCCACAATCTAATTCTATTTGGCATAAGGAAAAATTGCCTGATCAGTGGAAGGAGTCTATTATTGTACCAGTTCACAAGAAGGGTGATAAAACTGACTGTAGTAATTATCAGGGATATCACTGCTATTAACTTCATATAAAATTTTGTCCAATGTTTCACGGTAAAGTCCATATACGAGGGGATATCCAAAAGAAACCGAACTTATTTTTTTTTAAATTTATTTATTCAAATTTTAAGCACAAACCTTCAAACCCCTTCAAAGTACTCTCCACTTACACTAATACACTTGTCTAGTCTTTTATTCCATTTTTCAAAACATTGTCTAAATTCATCTAATGAGATGCCTGACAGTGCCTCCGTCATTTTTTCCTTCACCTCAGCAACATCAGTAAAACGCTTTCCTTTCATGTCTCTTTTCATTCGAGGAAACAAAAAAAAGCTTTGATCATTTCGGGACTCTTCTTTCAAAGCACAGCATGCTTCCACGCACCTTGTTTTTGTTCAGCAGTCAGCAGTCGTGGCACGGGTGGCAGCCACCCGTTTCATTCCAAAATCTTCTGTCAAAATTCGCTGAACTGAGCTCAGAGTCACTCCCGACAGCTCCACAATTCCTTCAATGGTCCGTCGTCGATCTTCCCTGATGATTTCACGAAGTTTTCACCATTTTCATGTGTTCGGGCTGTGGAAGGACGACCAGAACGAGGTTTGTCATCAATTGATATTTCAACAATTTTTAAACGGGAAAATCAGTCAAATACTTGAGTTTTCCCCATAGCACCATCCTTGTACGCAGTTTTTAACATTTCAAGACATTCTGTTCCACAATTCCCAAGCAAAAAGGAGAATTTCACAGCCGCATGCCCTTCACGAAAACCAGCCATTACAAAAACGACAATCACACAAAACAGTTGTCACTATAAACTCTGCCGAAACTAGTCCTTACCTTCTGAAGCAACGGTAGTCGGCTTATTGACACAGGAATGATAGCTCTAAGCGCTCATAGCTGCAAAAGGCTGTACTACAAAAGCTCTGCCCCCAAAAAATTAGTTCGGTTTATTTTGGGTACCCCATCGTATATGAAACATTTTCAACAGTGTCTCAATTTCTATTATAAACTGAGACAAATTGATCACATTTACTAAAAGTCAGGTCATTAACGAAAAAAAATCATGTTATGTCAATAGCGTGTGTTTTCTTCCACCTTCATGACAATGGAAGCACCAGGAATTCTAGTTAAGAACACTGCCAGCTGCAAGGTTGGCTGAGGCAGGCAGGCAGGCAGGCAGGCAGGCAGGCAGGCACATAAGAAATAAGAATAAAAAACCAGGTTTATTCATGCTGAAGAATAGCCATGCACACAGGAATCGAGGCTAAGGCAAGCGGATGCAGACATCCAAGATTCATCAGGATACTGTCACTTGAAGGGAAAAATCGCTGAAACAAATCAGATATGTTAACGAAAATTCAACATGTACCACATGGAAATTAGGACTAAACGAACAGAAGAATTTAGTTGTCTCCTAGAGAAGGGAATGCTGATATACGCTACCTCGTAAATGATGGAAGATTGTGGAGGTAAAATTTCCACTGTCACTATGACCACATATGTCTCTGTTACGTACTCTGTAGTAGATCAATTTTCTCCAACACCCTTCACCAGTTTCCAATAATTTGCCTGCTCATTCGGTCTGAAATTACACATTCCGGCTGACTTCTATTCAGGGTGACAAGGACTACCACAACCAGCAACTTCCCATTCTATATTAGTCTCCAGAATATGGCCTGAAGGACAACAAATGCACTTGCTTCACAGAAATATATATTGACGTGCAGCTAAAACATAAGAATGACAAATGTTATTTACCCTCACTATAAGAGGGAACATTGTACAACCAAATATGTACCTAAATTATTCTTTAACAGCCATCAAATTCCATTATAATTTAAATCAACTACTACATCACATTTTCTTATCTTACAATAATAAGTGAAAAATTTCATGCAAACCAAACAGTGAGCATTTTTACTTCCTTTGTCAAATGGAAGCCACATGCATAATTGGTAAGAATAATGACGATAGCATAGATGGCAGAGAAGAAAGAAAATCACGCCGGCTCGAAGAGGAAGCTACAAGTGGGATGAGGCACAAAAGCATGTGTCACTTCGAGGATGAACCCATCTGCAAAACAACCACATGTACCTTAAACCAAAAATTTATTGCTTGAAAATTAAGTCTAAAAGAAGAGAAAAACTAATATAACTCATATAAAGTATTTTGCTGCTCTTCAACTTACCTAAAAAGTGATGTCATGGTCTGGCAGTGACATTTCCACTGTCATTCAGATGCACTTGTGCTATGTATCATGACCAGTACTGGATCCATTTTCTTCATATCTCAACAACACAACACAACACATCACTGAAGCATTTCCATATTCATTGTCACATTTGTTTCATGGCAACACAGTTTATATAAGGCTGATGCAAAAACTACAAGCATCAATCTCCTTCGAGGTCTTCTAATTCTCCAAGATTTCACCTGAAGAAAAGAATCAGTCACTCAATGCCTCGAAATATATGACGCTCCACTAAGACATCATAATATTAAATAAATAATTATCTTAATTATATCAGAGAACAGTTAATGTTAAATATGTATGTCAAGCATTTTTAACAATGATTCAATTTCCATTATAACATGAGTCAAATTGATCACATTTACTTAAAGTCTAGTCATTAACTGAAAAAAAATCATGTTATGTAAAGAGTGGGTGTTTCATTCTACCCACATGCAAATGGAAGCACCAGGAATTCTAGTTAAGAA